CATTCGTAGCTCAAGTAGGTAGAGCGTTGGCTTGCGTAGAAGGCCTTCCCTCAATGCGGGTTCGAATCCCGCCGAATGTCGCGAGTTTTTTCACAATTGGGTCAAGTAAGTTAACCAAATCTGTCAAACCTCCTTGATAACAGTATTATTTGGTAGAACAGAAGATCCTCGTAACGAGTCAGGTTATGCCGCTGTGTTTGGGTGGGTTGAGAGGGGAGATTCAAAAGAGGCAAATGATAACTCAGTTTTTAATGGGTTCGAAGGCATTCACAGTCTGGATTGCAGACAGAATTATCACCCATGTCCGTCGGTCCGGAATCCGTTGCGGGGATTTCAGAAGCCACCATCCTCGTCCGCTGGCCTTCTACACCAACTGAAGTGGTTGGCAAGCCGTCGTTGAGGCTCTTCAGAAGAACGCACGCTTGGCAATACTTCTGGCTGGAGATATAACCGCATGCTATACAATTACCTGTGAGAAAATAAACTGCATAGTCAAGCGAATGAAATATTCTGGTGGCAGTAAATACAAGTTTCCATACTTTTCACGTTATCGCCGGGCGGGGGACCCAGAGTCCCACGTCAAAACGAAAGCCAGGTGGTCTCTAAGTTTCCAAGAACACTGCTTCCGGGAATGAATTCCAAAGTATTAAAATGCAGATGGCAGCTTCGAACTGCAACCACGATGACCTGATTAATCTTTCCTGCCACCAAAAATATCCCAGATAAAGGGAAAGGGGAGACGTCAAGAAGACAGGTATCAATCGAGTTGGACAAACTGGACGGGAACTGCAGCCTTAGTTGCATGCTGGAGACTGACTGCAATGCACCCTGTGGTCGAACTCCTGACTCCCCAAGATTAATCACTCGACTTGGCTTAATTTTATAGGAAAACTTATCAACTTTTTGACCGAACACGAATAGGCCTGCTCTGAAGAATATACTCCAAGGCTGTGCATTAATTTCCTTGGAAATTAAACAAAACAGGCCAAAACTGGAGTTCGTGTACCATAAAACACACGGGAACGCTGGGGGGACCAACCAATGATAAGCCGAATCCCTCCCAGCTGCGTCAGGCAACGGTGCAAGATCAGCGAAAGACACGCGTCTGGGCCTTTAGCTAGTATCTATGTTGTCAGTATAATAAATAAGTACGTGACGATCATTTTAGATAGACAGTTCAGTAATCGGACAATTCGCTAGATGTTTTTCGACGGCAGTTTAACTGAGCAGTGTGTCGACACCCCGTTGGCTTACTGGCACGTACGTCATTGAATGCACGGAGTTGGAGTGATAAGCAACTCGCTCAGCGGGGGTGGGCGGAGGTGAGCCATCAAGCCCGAAGTAACGAGTAATTAGGCATAAAAGTAGTTACTAGCAACATTGCATCAATTAGGGTATACGTTAAATATCGACATGCCAAAATTAAAATATTTCATCGGCAGATGGCCGACTAACTTTTACAAGACATCTGAAACTGTTGAATTTCTTAACAGCATACACTCAGCCACCAGACAACAAAACTAACTGTTTGAGATGTCAGTCCACTAACGAACTCCTCTACTCTATTGGCATCTTCTTGTTGCCCAGACATTATAAACCACCTTGCCGGCATCTCTGGTGTGGCTAACGCTAAACACGATCAGCATCTTTCATCCCTGGTAGCTACTTAGATAGACAGAAACATCAGTAACAACAGAAGCTCACGTATGATTCACGTACCTTATCGTACAGTACGTTTTAGTAAATCAAACTAGTACTTAAAAGTATTAAAGAAATGGAAATATATCTTTGAAGCATATGGGGTCGGAGTATGAGTCAAGTTCGCGGTGAGGTCAAGCTAGAATAATCTGCTTTGAAAAAAATGAACTAAAAAATCAGCAGCTAACCTTGAGTTGGCATTTTGGTTCCTTGACGGATAGCCATCTGCTCGCCAGAGTTTATTATGTCTGTAAGGTAACAAAGCAGGGAAAGATAGGGTTTACGACTTAGGTTTTATTAGGGGACACAGGGTTAACAGCTCTACTGTAGTGAATTTACCAAGGATTGCCCTCGGGCGGAGCTTCTCCAAGTCCTTGACATAGGCTCGCACATGACCCCTAAACAGGAGGATGAAAGTTAGTCACCCGAAACTACCTGTAAGCATTTGGTGCATATTTGCACTCTGTAGAGAAGTAGTCCAGTTTACGAGCATGTGCATACATGACAATTTCTTTTTCGTAGGCATACTTGAAGGGCTTGAAACGCGGAAGAACCCCATCTATGCCCTAAAAGAGAGTATGGTGGATTATTATCTTGGGACTCCAGTAATGCAACCGTGTCAGTAGTATCACCCGCGGGCGTATGTTTTAATCAGTAAGAGAAACATGTAGAATGCATAAGTTGGGGTTGCAGTAAAGAAAGTGAGGATACATTGTTGATTGTTCATGATGGACGGGTAAGATAGAAACAAGACAAAGTCAGCTATAGCTTAAATCGACTATAGTTCATAAGTGTCAATGAATAACG